TGGTCAAAGAGTGGGCACATGATATTAGAGAATGGGCACAACGGTGCTTCTGTTTTGTTGGTAACACCAACGTAGCCCTCTCCTCTGAGAGGCGCAAGGCAGCTTTACTCCGTATTGACGGAAAACTGGTGGATTTGGGCACCAAAGAGTTGGGACCGTTGGCACAGGGCAAATTGTTCGGAGAACCTTTCTTAAAAGAGCTGAACAAGCATGTTAACATCTTTACGTCCCTCAATAAGGCTCAGACGTCTATGAAACGAGTCTTCAGAGGCTACCCCAGTCGGGGTGTTTTTGGACGGGCTGGCCGCTACAGGGGCCGAGCAGCCAGCCGATTCTGGCCTTCTGGCCCCCGGTCACACAGACCACAGCCTTTCTACCCGGAAGTGGGTTTCAGGCAACCCTTCTCCTACACCCGAGGAGCAGACCGAGGCAGAGGACCTCGTAACCGTGGCAGAGCACGCTTCCCCACAGGTAAGCAATCTAGTGTCTCTAGTTTCACTTACCCCTTACACTGCAGGCCGTATTGCTCTGTCTTTTCAGAACTGGACGACCATCTCCACGGACGCATGGATCCTCCAGACAGTTCGGGGCTACGTCATCGACTTCGTAGAAACCCCTTACCAGCTCGCTCCCCCGCATCCCATTCAATGCTCCGAGGAGGACCGCCGCCTAATCGACGGCGAACTACGGGAGCTCAAGGCGAAAGGAGCGATAGAACCGGCTCACGACGGAAAGGGCTTCTTCAGCAACATTTTCCTAGTAAAAAAGAAATCAGGAGAATTCCGTCCTGTTATAAACTTGAAGGGACTCAACGCTTTTGTAACGTACAGGCACTTCAAGATGGAAGGCATTCACCTGCTGAGAGATCTACTCCAAGACAGGGACTGGTTTACGAGACTGGACCTCAAAGATGCTTACCTGTCGGTCCCCGTCCATGGGTCTTGCCGCCAATTTCTCAGATTCCTATGGCAAGACCAACCCTGGCAGTTCACATGCCTCCCCTTCGGCCTCAGCTCAGCGCCGTGGTGCTTCACCAAGCTCCTCAAGCCGGTAGTATCACAACTACGAACTCAAGGAATTCGTTGCATTATCTACCTGGACGACCTGCTACTATTTTCCTCAGACAGGTACAGTCTAACACAACACACACGATATACCATTCAACTCCTGACGTCCCTAGGCTTCGTGGTGAACTACCAAAAATCGGAGCTGCTCCCAGCCCAGACGATTCATTTCCTGGGCTTCGAGATAGATTCCAAGACCAGCACCTTACGGCTCCCGATCTCAAAGATCACAGCCATAAAGAAGGAACTACGCAGAGTCATCCGCTGCAACACCATCCCGCTCCGCAGCCTGGCTCGAATCGTGGGACTACTGTCCGCATCTATACAGGCAATCTTCCCGGGACCACTACACTACAGGGCGATGCAACGGCTGAAGGCCTCCTTCCTCCGTCAGAACCCTTCCTACGACCAAAACATTCCGGTAACGGAAGAAGTCAGGGAAGAACTCGGATGGTGGTTGGACAGCATGGAAGCTTGGAACGGCCGAGCCATCTTCGGGAATGCACCCGACATAGTTCTGGAATCAGACGCCAGCCTGTGGGGCTGGGGCGCCACAAGCGAGGGCAGATCAACAGGAGGCACTTGGACTTCCCAAGAAACCAACCTTCACATAAACTGCCTAGAACTCCTAGCGGGGTCGTTTGCGATCCGCAGCTTAGCGAGAGACCGGACAGACTGCTGCATCCTCCTCCGGATGGACAACATCTCAGCGGTCCGCTACATCAATCGCCTGGGAGGAGCCCGATCCAGGCTCCTCTCAGAGATCACGAAGGAAATTTTCGACTTTTGTCTACCCCGGAAAATCTCCCTCATGGCAGAATACCTCCCGGGAGAAACGAACCTGACAGCGGACTGGTTTTCACGCCACTGGCGAGACAGCAGCGACTGGAGACTGGACCCAGCGATCTTCCAGCGCCTTTCGGTCAGGAGGGGTCCCCTCCACCTGGACCTCTTCGCGTCACGCAACAACAGACAGACAGACGAATACTTCAGCTGGCTCCCAGACCCAGAGAGCAAGGCAGTAGATGCGTTTCTCCAGCCTTGGCCACTCTTGGGGGCGTACGCCTTTCCCCCATTCGCCATGGTAGCCAGGACGATGCAATACCTGAAGACCCAACGCGGATCCCTGCTCCTCATCTCACCCCTATGGCAGGGTCAACCTTGGTTTCCGGATCTCCTAGCGTCATCCTACAGAGATCCCCTCCTCATACCGTCCTATCCGATGCTCCTTACGGACCTGAGAGGGAATCAACACCCGCTCATCCTGGAAGACCGTCTCACGCTGGTGGCTTGGACGCTTTCAGGGGAGCCTGGCAAACCGAAGAGTTATCGCAAACATCTCGAGATCTCCTATGGGACTCATGGGCACCAGGAACCAGACGATGTTACTTATCGGCATGGAGCTCCTGGTCTACTTGGTGCAGTGAGCGGAATTTCGATCCCTTTACTGCACCTATAACAGCCATCATGAATTTTCTCTCTCATCTCTTCTCCAAGGGCCGATCTTATCGATCCCTCAACGTCGTGCGCTCCGCAATTTCAGCGGCCCACGTTCCGGCCCAGGGGATCCCCGTCGGGAAAGACCCGTTGATATGCCGCCTCCTCAGGGGCATCAGACTTCAGAGGCCTCCGAAACCTAAATATTCCCGACTATGGGACGTCGAAAACGTCCTACAGTTCCTGAGGGACTGGCCGGACAATGACAGACTCTCGCTCCGACAACTATCAGCCAAACTGACGCTCCTACTTTGTTTGGTCTCATTCCGCAGAGTTTCGGACGTACGAGCTTTCGACATCGATGCCTTTTCGGTCTCCCCGGAGGGAGTTACCTTCCAAGTTTCACGTCGTACGAAATCCGACTCCACATCGGTCTTCTACCCCTTTTTTCCTACAGAACCGCTTCTCTGCGTGGTATCTACCCTACATCGGTACGTAGAGGTCACATCCCGTTTGCGGGTCTCCCCTACGGGCCAACTTTTGGTGTCCTACGTTAGACCACACGTTCCCGTCTCTACCACCACCCTGGCCAGATGGGTAAGATGGATTCTGTCCCTGGCGGGCGTAGAGGAAACCTTCGGAGCCCACTCCGTCCGCGGGGCGGCAGCTTCTTCGGCTTTCACCGCAGGCGCATCCCTGGCAGACATCCTACGAGCTGCAGATTGGTCACGAGAATCGACCTTTCGGACCTTCTATTTCCGACCGAAATCGGGGGCAGCCACGTCTCTCCTGCTTCAGCGTTAAAAATGCAAAATATGAAGCCTCCTGTCATGTGGTAAAATTGAAGATTATGCTAGCGCTAGTGTACTTATAATCTTAATTTTAGTAATGACAGGAGGCGAGTATTTTCCCACCCTCCGCACCCTTGGGGGATACGGATCCAAGTAAGTATACTTACTATGTGTATTTCCTTACTTCTTCTATCTTCCTACTCATCTTGTATGACTCAGGCTTGTACCTTGTTTAGTTAAATCTTTGTTATTGTTTACTGTCATATTTATACTAGTTTTCATCTAGTTTTACATCAGTCGGTGGAAATTGTGTTGGGTTTATTACATTACCGCAAACAGTTGCCAGATCGGTACCTAACCTTCTCCACGTTCTTTTTCAGCATAACTTCGGGACATTACAGCTTATGCTCAGGATGGACACGTTCGGGCCGTCCTTCAACCACTAGGACTTCGTATTTGGAAAGTCACCCGTTGGTGCATGTTTCAAGACTTTATGTTTCAAGACTTTATCCGTTTTCAATATTTGTCTCTGATGTCGCTTTCGAAAGAGGGGGAGGAGCCTCATCACTGTGAATACTATACCTCCTACTGCATTTTTGATTGGTTTATGTTTTCACTTTTCTTTACTGCTATGTGGAGTTAGTAAAGAGAGTTATATGCAAAATACTCGCCTCCTGTCATTACTAAAATTAAGATTATAAGTACACTAGCGCTAGCATAATCTTCAATTTACTGCCACCACCAAGACTTTATATCCGGGCATCTTAGGTTACCCCACAGTAGAACTATAGTATTGATACCGGAGAAACTGACGGAAGCAAAGCACAGAGGGATGGACACAGGTTTCTTCAGGAAGGAAGAGATTCTTTATTGGATCACCGATCGGGACTCAGAGGGACTAATGTCACCAAAAATACAGCAAGTTCTGAGCCCTGAACAATAGTGCAGGCTCCCTATATAGGCACATAACTCCTCCCATTAATAGCTACACCCACATATACCTTTAACCAATCAATGAGCAGAATATAGACTTGTACATCTAGTCAAACCACATGGCCCATCCAAGACAAAGGAAATAAGTGCAATTTCAGTTCCTGCATTCCTGCACATGCTCAGTACACTGATGACAGTATCCTAGCTACATGTAGCTAACCAACTGACACAACATACACATATGCCACATGGAGATTTTGGCCTACTAAATTTTAACCATGCTGGAATCCCATCACATTCCCCCCTTTGATGCCTCTTGATATTTTACAATTACTTGAGGCATCACTTAACCTTGGTTTGCATACACCACAAGTTACCTTTGAACCAGACCAGACTTATCCTATGATGTGAATCTTCAACACTCGTCTTCCTGCATTGGTTCTCCCTGATCTAGAGCCTTATATTTATAAATTGCCATTATCTGTGCAGCAGCCTTCCTCTCTGCTATATTTTCTATCAGGCTTTGCACAGACCTAACTACTAAGGGTATAAGACACGGCAGGAGTAGACACAACATTAAAATCAGTAGGACTCCACCTACCACTGCCTTAAGCCCTCCAAACCACTCATACCAGCTACCAAACCAACTACTTGGATTGTACCCTTTCCATACCTGAGTAGGCACATGCGCTAGTTTAACCATATGGCTAGTAAGCTCAGCTATTGCTTGCCCTTCGTCATCTATTTGAAGACAGCAATTGCTCAGGTTAAACTTCCCACATACACCTCCCTCTACTGCCAAAAGATAATCCAAGGCTAATCTATTTTGGTAAACTGCTGTCCTCATCCTGGTATTATGCTTCGCTAGAAGATTGAGCGCTTGTGATATCTCGTTAGTAATGATCTCAACCACCGCCTGTAACCTTATAATGCGGTTGAGCATATAAATAGGGGTTCTATAACCAAAGGTACCATCCTCTGCCCACGTGGCTGGCCCATAATAATCTATAATACTCTGGGAAGGCCATTCATTATCTTCCCAGGCACCTATCTCTATGGGTCCCCTTTTCTTCCTATGATTCACATCATACACTTTAACACCTAAAGTCTCACCTGTTTCAATAGGCAACAGGAAGAAAGATGGCTTTAGCATACCTAATACACATGCCCCTTCCCAATCTTGTGGTAACTCCGAATAGGCCTTCTTACCACAGATCCAGTACAAATTCGCTGGGGCTCTCCAGTTAGATGTGATGGATAGATCAAACCATACGTCCTTTAAATTGGCATATCTTGCAAACGGGTTAGATGGTTCTGAGACATTTGAAGCTGACCACCAAGTAGTATTTTTAGTATTAACATTATAGGCTTTTTGTCCCAAGCAAGTTAGCTCACCTACAGACGTGTTATACATTGTCCCTTTCCTGGCTATACAAACATGACCTATAATGGAGGTTTTAAACCGCCATTCCGATTTACTTCTAGTACTTACTTGATGATCAGACTGGAAAGGTATCTGTTGTTCATATGTCTCAGAGCCAGGGTACCATATTTCCTTTGCCTCCCATGGCCACTGGTCTCCCATATTAGTACCTCCACACACATAGCAATTAGTTACATTAAGACTACCTGCAATACCCTCAGCCAAATCAATAAATAGGTTGTTAACATTATGGGGAATTTTATCCTCAATACTCATCTCCTCATAGAAGGAATGAGAAACCTGATGAGTTTGAGTTGCCACTGTCTCAGTTTCAAGACCTACATATATTATTGTTCCTGGATCTACTCCTGTGCCATATATTTGAAACCCAAACAGACCTCCAAACCTGTCAATAAAGTACTGCAGATTGGAAATGGTCATGTGAGCGGGGTTGCACACATAGTTTTACAGTATGGTGTGGTAGGCAACCTTTGGATAATCATATCTTGATCCACTGTTTTTCCCAGGTTGCCCAACCTACACATGACAAATAGGGGCAGAAGTTAGTCTCTATTTGGGCAATCAGGATCAGTAGATCTTTTACTGGGACATAAGTATTTATCATTAAACCCATAAGTTCGTTCCCATTTAAGATTACCACATACATTCCAAAGTCTTCCACTACCCGAAATCGCCTTACATGCATCAAATAGTAGAATACCCGTGGAATGTATGGTGCTTATCACAGTCCTATTTATTAATGTCCCCTGGGAGTTACTATTCCGAATTACCAACCAAATTGTACGGGGTTGGAAATGGGGATCAAAACATTTAGACTCTCCTGATATTGGCTTGCACACACTATAATCAATATCCAAATATCTACATTTAGATACAGATCCCTTACATTCATACTGTGAGTGCCAGATGAAAGTTTGGGATATTTGGTTACCTGTTTTAGTAGTCTTAATGCAACTATCGCAATTCGGTATGTCTGTACTCCTACCTTCCTGAAAAATCATAAAAATACTAAGACACAATAAAACACATTATTCCTGAAATCCTCATTTTTCTTCAACCGTGCGATGGCCTCTCAGCTTCCCGATTGTGAGGGCTGCAAGGATGTTGTTCTTCTGATCCTCACTTTCCTTCACAGAGATCCCTTCAAGATACTCTGGCTATGACACGTAGGCAGGTGGTCAGGCTTTATTATGGCCGTCAAAACACCTACTTGATGATCTTTGTAGACTTTTAACTAGAATGTCTCGATATCCCCTCGTCACTCCGACTGAGTTGCACGCTTCAACCGGGTCCTGCAAGGATTCTCAGGATCTGGAGTAGCTTGCCAAGAGTCTGCTGCTGGTTTAACCTTAGAATGATGAATCCAAGGAGTCACTTCCGCCACCTTTACAGCTGTTGGGGTAGATAAAAGAACAACATACAAAGGCTAACAGAATACACCCCGAGCTTTAACTCATTATGTATTGGTGGGATATTACGAGCAAGTCCTGGAGGATTATTTTCTTCCCATACTCCTGGAATGTCAAGTAAGGATTCATCACTCTTAGGGTTAACACTTGTCACTATGGAATAGAAGCGTCATTCTTCTTCCCTTGGCACCGATATCACCATTATGCCTGGTAATCCCTTAAACTTCAGAGATGTTAATCCATTAGGTAAAAGGTTATCTGAGTTTAAAGCTTCGATAATAGATCTCGTCCTAAAAGTTGAATCGGACACTCTGGCATATATAGGAACTAATGCTTCACCACAGAATGTTCAGCACCTGTGTCGATCATGAAAGAACTTCTCTTTCCCCCTATTGCTACATCGACCATAGGCTACGCTCGACCAAGTGGGATGGAGCCCAGTCGGTATCAATAGTCTTCCATGATAGTGTCAGCCAGACCCACAAAATCTCTATCCTCTCTTTCTCTAGGTCTCTGCGTGGGTGGATAGTATCTGTCTCCTTGAACACTTCCTCTACTATTCCCATCATTCCCTCTAAAACTTCCTCTTACTCTATAACTACCACTATAACCTCCTCGTACCCTTCTCTCTCCTTGTCTATCACCTTCATACTGCTCTCTCTGTGGACACTCACTCTTCCAATGTCCCTCCTTTCTACAATACGCACATTAATTCCTACTTAAAGTCCCTTGCTCAGCCTATTCTCGTCTCCTCTATTCACTTCCCTGTCTTTCTACACTTAAGATAGCTACCGCTAGCATATCTGCCTTTTTCCTCATTTTACGTTCTTCCTCCATCTCCCTATTCATATATACTGTATTTGCAATCTCCATTAGCTGTATTATGGACATCCCTACAAATCCCTCTAATTTCTGTAATTTCCTTTTACTATCACCTTGGGCCTGGCTGACAAATGCTGAGTCTATCATTCGGAAGTTTTCAGGGGCCTCTGGATTAAAGGGAGTATACAACCTATTTGACTCAAGCAGTGTCTAATATGGGACTTCGGCAAGGCTGCCCAATAATAGGTTCCAGTCTAGGAGTAGTAAGATAATTTTATTAGTCAGCATTTGGTGGATGAAAAAACGTTTTTTTTTTTTGTTTTTTTTTAAAGTGTTAAACCAAAAACCTACCAGTAGGTGTCACCAGAGGGTAATTGTATCAAAATAATCTTTATGGGTCTAATAAGAAAACTCAACTTTTAATATATTTATACATAAAATAAAACCTTATAGCAATAAATATATTAAAATAGGGTAAGCAATCCTACATCTATCTGTTATAAACAATGTATTATCAATGTAACTCCCGAAGATGGCCAGTAGGTGGCTTAGAGTGCCTCCCTAAAGTCAAATGAAACAAATAGACTTTAATTAATTATGTCCTATTTTATTATTACTTATTTTAATCAATGTCCACCCTGCTAGCTAGGTTTGATTAAATCTTTAGTTCTAAGGTAAATTAAACATTTCAGTTTGTAGTTTAGTAAAAGGGGACATTTTGGACAAAGCTGGGAGGGGCCCATCCAGTAACTAAAAAAACCAATATACCATTTGATACCATTGATCATTGATTAGGGGGAGGGGTAGTACAGAAATACAAGAGTTTGAAACACAGGAACAGATAGGTATGTGGGTAGGCGGGGACAGTAGAGCAGGGGGAGTGCAAATACTGATTATACCAGCCAGAAATGGGCGTGGCTAATCTGGCTCTGGAGGATGTTTGGGGGGTTGGTAATCAGATGCCAGGGGGGGAGGGGATGTCCAAAGCAGTTGTAATTAAGTCCTTAGTTCTGACCACCATGTGGCTACATTGTTTCCCATATGACACAGTTTAATTCACCAAGGCAACAATCAGTTTCCAACAGTCAATATATAGAAACTGATCATAGAATTCCAGCCTACTAGTTACAGCCACATGTACACCCTGCACTAAATTTAAGTGAAGACTGCTACATGGAGGCCATGCAGCCACCAGGACAAGCTACTCCCTACTTTTTTTTTTTTTAAACATACAAGACAAAAGACTAACAGCCAAGTGAATCAGATTATTTCAACAGAACGTCTGATTCAAAAAGCTGTACAAATATACACACAGTTTCAACAGTCACACCAATCTCCTTATCACCAGCAACACATTGCGCAGTCACTAGGCCCAAACACACACACAGGATCCTCACATGCTCAACAATATCACGACGTCGCACACACGAAATTAAATCAAAAACCCACCAAAGACTATACACTTATCAATGTAACTATTATTCAAACCATACAACTATCCACGCTATTAATCCATATAAACTAACCGATCACATAACATTTCAACAAATTCATCTCTACAATTATCTGTACTATAAATCAACTTTTGACTAACCAACTATATCACATTCTAGTAACCTCATCTTTACAGTCAGTGGTTATGGTACAGTTAGTAAGTGGTTATAATACAGTTTTAAAGTCACAGATCAGTTAGTAACAGTTATGGTATTATACATATAACATAAAACAGCAATTGTTAGTAATTTTTACACAATGTCAGTGGTTATGGTACATGTCAGTAGTTATGGTACCGTGCGCTATTTTACAGTTATACACACAATTTACACTCCCACTAGACAGCAGAGCTCTAACTTTCTAGTAGGACATACAAGTTAACCAATTCACCAACTACAATATATTTAACAACATTTACAATAATCCCAACTAAACTATTGGCCAGTACCTTGAATAGACTACCTAAAACTATATACACCCGTTTTGGTTAGCCACACTGCCCAAGCACCACATATAGCGAACTAGAGGGCGGAAATTGCCCTTCTAGTCTATTTACTCTATCAAAAGTCTAGTGGGTTCCAAATTTACACGCCTTCCCACTTAGCCAAGATAGGTTGAGAGCTAGCGAACCGAATTTACACAGGCGCCGCTTAGTCTCCCGGTCCCTCCGACCTAGCGAACGTAATATACACCCTAGAACGCTAGTCTAGACAAGACACCGGTGTCCGGCTAGGGCTATTTACACAGGACCCCGCCTGACTAACCAGATCAAAGCGGTCTTACTAAAGAGCGTTCGATCGAGCGGTGCGCCTTCGCTCCTTCCCTCCGACAGAGGGGGCAGATTCCATACACAGATTTAAACCCCTTTTGGGCCTACCGCACAATCGGTATACCCCTAGTGGGTCTGCCGTCTAAAACAGCAGTTGTCTTACCTCCTCGTTCCTGAACCTGAGTTCACACTCATCGACGGGGACACCCCAGCACTTCTTACGTAGAGGCCGATGATCTCCTGGACAACAGACCAGTGGCGCCGAGACGAAGGGAGGTCCACGCAGAAGTTCAGGGGTGCAGCCGTAGAGAACGTGGGCAAAGATAGACCGTCTCACGCCTCTGCCTCTCAGCTACCGTTGAACGATGAGCTTCCCGGCCAATGCACCAAATGATACCGGAGAAACTGACGGAAGCAAAGCACAGAGGGATGGACACAGGTTTCTTCAGGAAGGAAGAGATTCTTTATTGGATCACCGATCGGGACTCAGAGGGACTAATGTCACCAAAAATACAGCAAGTTCTGAGCCCTGAACAATAGTGCAGGCTCCCTATATAGGCACATAACTCCTCCCATTAATAGCTACACCCACATATACCTTTAACCAATCAATGAGCAGAATATAGACTTGTACATCTAGTCAAACCACATGGCCCATCCAAGACAAAGGAAATAAGTGCAATTTCAGTTCCTGCATTCCTGCACATGCTCAGTACACTGATGACAGTATCCTAGCTACATGTAGCTAACCAACTGACACAACATACACATATGCCACATGGAGATTTTGGCCTACTAAATTTTAACCATGCTGGAATCCCATCACAGTATCACAACCTTACTTTACTGATCACACATATATAATTAACCCTTTGGTAACGTGTTTACCTGAGCTTTCCTCAGGAGAGTTAGCTCATAGAGAACACACAAGCTGATTAAAGCGGCACTGTCATGCTGAACTTACCTTTCCTCAATCTCTTCCTCTTCTCCCCCTCTCTCAGGATCTGTTCTTCTTTTCTTCCTATCTTCTTTAGTTTTCTTTAAAATCAGAAGAGAAAGTAGGGACTCTTTGCCTTATGGAGGATTCCTCCGCTTGAACAGCTCTGACCAGCGGAGGAGCAAAGTGTGCTTAATTTCCGCTGGTCATAGCAATTTTCCCATGATCCTCACCTTTCCTCTGTGTTCCCACGATGCTTCCTGTCATTTTACACTAAACTGCCGAATTGCGTTCTAACTGAATGAGAACAGTATGTTCGTTTCTTTTAGAACGCAATTTGGCACTTTGTTCGGATCGGAATTTCATTCGAATGAATGAAACTCCAATCCTATTCATGCTGTGGCTGCATCTTGCAGCCGCTTAGTAGATAACTCCCTAATTCCCACGGTACCAGGAAGCTATCTACTAAAAGGCTGAAAGACCTAAATTGGTCTTTCAGCCAACTTTACTAATACCAAGTAAAAATTACTTAGTATTAGTAAATAATATGCCCCTACTCGCTATACCGCGAGTAGGGGCATGTCTGGTAAACAGTGGCTGCTCACTGTAAAAAAAAAACAAAGAAAAAAAAAACTATTGGCCCCCACCCCCAACGACGGATGGGGGCCCTAAAGTAAAATAAGGGGGGAGACCTAATGTCCCCACCCCTGCGCGGTGGGTGGGGGTCATAATGATAATGGGGGGGGCTACTGCCCCCCCGGACCCCACCCCTGGGCGGCGGGTGGGGGCCATAAAGATAATGAGGGGGGGGACCTACTGTCCACCCCCCCTCCGGCCCCCACCCCTGGGCGGCGGGTGGGGGCCATGAAGATAATGAGGGGGTGGGGGACCTACTGGCCACCCCCCTCTGGCCCCCACCCCTGTGCGGTGTGTAGATTCCCCCCTCATTCTCACTATGGCCCCCACCCGCCACGCAGGGGTGGGGGCCGGGGGGGGCAGTAGGTCCACCCCCTCATTATCATTATGGACCCCACCCGCCGCCCAGGGGTGGGGGCCGGGGGGGGCAGTAGGTCCCCCCCTCATTCTCATTATGGCCCCCACCTGCGGCGCAAGGGTGGAGGCCGGGGGGGGAACATTAGGTCTTCCCCCCTTATTTTACTTATGGGGCCCCCACCCGTCGTTTAGGGGTGAGGGCCAATAGTTTGTTTTTTTAAAGTGAGCAGCCATAGGCTGCTCACTGTTTAGTGGACATGCCCCTACTCACAGTATAGCGAGTAGGGGCATTGTGGAGATTTTAATCTCCCTTATGCTATTATGGGGGTCATATTGACCCCCATAGAGTGAGGGGGGACCTGGGGGGCTTATGAAGTGGTGGGGAGCACTGCTCCCTGCCGCTTCTATAGTTACATATTACAAGGAGGGAAATGCGTGCCGGTAGCTCCCTCCTTGTAATAAACTGAAAGAACAAACGAGCACTGATACACTGATACATAGTGTTTGTTTGTTCGGCTGATATTTCTATTCATTCATTCGTCTGTCTGATGAATGAATGAATAGATGAAATTCCTGTTCACATGTCCAAGTGTTTAACTGGGCATGTGCGGGAATCGTGTCCCACAGGGACTTCCTCTACCCACATAAAGATGGCGGCGCCCTGAATATAGATCAGGGCAGAAAATAAGGAATAAAAAAATAGGTAATGTGGGGGGCTTAGGGGCATTTGGGGGTGACTAGGGTGTTAGTTAGATGTCGTGGAGGCCGGAGGGGGGTTAAAAAAAAACAGGATTCGGCATGACAGTGCCGCTTTAAGTAAACATTTAATCTGACAAAAAGGATTCACAGTGTTGTGTACAAAAATACAGAAATAAATGACATACAGAAACACAGATAACACATTGCAAAACAGTCCACAAAATAAAATAGGAGAAAACACAAGAGATCTTTACATATATTTACCGATTATATATAATTCTTGTGGGAGATTCAGATGTTAAAGATCTCCAAGCAGTTGTTAAAAAGAAAAATCTCTCTGGATAATCCAACATTCTCATTATATAGCTCAAACTAGTTGTTTCCAAGTGGCCAGACCCCTGGGTGGATCAAAGGGGTTTGGCCTGGCAGTATTGTCCGCTACATATTTTATTAAATTATGTTGTCCTTTGAATAACCCAAAGTCAGAGCAGATGCATAAATACCTTTTATGACACCAAATGCCCAGCTCTGGTGTTGGTTATCTGGTCTTTACATTTTATGGCTTAGGCCTTGTGTTAGATCAAAGCCTACAATAAATGTTATCCCAATGTATACAAAAATAACTCACAACACATATCCCATGCCATTTCATGCATTGGCATGACAACTACATAAAAAGGATGCTTTTGAACATTAAAAGGACACTTAAGGCTCCAAAAAAACTTCAGCTTAATTAAGTAGTTTTATTGTATAAATCATGCTCCTGCAGTCTCACTGCTTAATTCTCTGCCATTTAGGAGTTATATCATTTTGTTTATGCAGCCCTAGCACCACCTTCCTGCATGTGACTTACACAGCCCTGCTAAACACTTCCTGTAAAAAGTCATTGTGACAAACTCCCCTGTCCTCGTGAGTTTGCCACGAGTTCCTGGAGGAGCCTGCTTGTCAGCCCCCTGCCTACCGACTATGGGTCAGGTCAGCGACTGTAAAGACCCATATTTTATTCCCCCTAGTTTGGCACTTTCAATTAGTGCGCATAGAACCGAATGCTAGCTCCCTGGCAGCCGTTTGCATGGACCCAGTGGCGGATCCAGAGCCTGATCTCGGGAGGGGCACTTGTAGATTATTTAAAGAAATAATCCAGACACAATAACTACTACAGCTCAGTGTAGTGGTTATGGTGTCAATAGTGCCGGGACCCCCTCCTAGAGTAAGTAGTCAAACCGTTTAAGAACAGTTTGACAACTTACCTGAGGTCTGCTGGGAAATGGGGCGGTAGTAGGGCATAGGAGCAGTGGTGTGTGTGAGTGGTGCAATGTGTAAGGGGTGCAGTGTGTGTGTGTGTGTGTGTGAGGGGGACAGTGTGTGAGCAGTGTGTGTGTGTGTGTGAAGGTTGTAGTGTGTGAGTAGGGGGGGCAGTGTATGTCAGGGATGCAGTGTATGTGTGGGACAGTATGTGTGTGTAACAGTTGCAGTGTGTGTGTGAATGTGGGCAATGTGTGTGTATGGGGCGGCAGTGTATGGGGGCAGTGTGTGTGTATGCGGGGCAGTATGTGTGTATGAGGGCAGTATGTGTATGGGGGGGCAGTATGTGTGTATGGGGGGGCACCATGGGGGGCAGTATGTGTGTATGGGGGGGCAGCATGGGGGCAGTATGT